AAGGGGAAAGTGACAGCATCAGTTCACTGTGCACTCAGATCACCTCAGCTTTTAGTGGACCCCCAGAGGACCCATTCTCCTCAGCACCAATGCCCAAGCCAGCATCATCCCCACAGTCTCCTGTAGCGCCAGGTAACATCAAATAAACCTCGTCGTAAACCCTTAATATCTAACATGTGTACCTGTGCATTGGATATGTGGTTTGATTAAACAACAAAGTTTTAACTAGACAAATCTCATATTTTGGCTGCTCCGGTATTGATGCTGCATTCAATTTTACCTCAGAAGTCGTGGCTGGGAATGATGTCACAAACGAGTTGACTGCATTCTAGTACAACAACAGATTTAAGTAAAAAAAAACAGTACCAGTTGATAACAACGCATTTTGTGGTATTTTGCACAACAACACTGTGTGTACGACGGATTTAATGAGACACAAATAAGACAGAAGTGCGATGAACAGTATATTACCACAGCTTTCACTACTTTTGATGCTCAGAGCAGCCATCTTGGATTTTGAGTTCGGGGTCAGTGAGGTTCTCCCATCTATCTGAGTCGGAAATCTGACTAAAGGAGCGTTCCGGGTGAAAGCTTTGATTATTTGCTCTTAATTACTATCGAAGCTTCGAAGCTCAAAAAATGACATTCGGTTCGACATTTAGTTCTGTAGGAAATAAATAGACTTCTAGTGATCATTGTGTGCCTAGAATGTGTGCCTGCCCACATTTCCTCATAACTACTTTTGTAACATTTATTTTATATGTGTGATTAACACTTGTTAGGATTGTTAATTAACTGCATGGTAATATTGTGCATGTCTAACATCTGTCTGATGTAGTGAACGGCACAGCTCCTGCCTTCTCTGTTGCTGCTGCTGCTACTGCTAACCCCCCAGTTCTACCCCCTGCTCTGCCTGCTCGAGACACTAACCCCTGGGCTAAGACCCCAGCAGGGATCCCTGCCTCAGCGCAACCAGGTAAGCAGAGAAGCTAAATTCCCAAGTTCGCATGTCACAGGGTGCACTGAGAGTGTACTATTGATATGAAAAGAGGGACATTACAATGTAAGGTATTGTAAAAGTTGATGGTCATCCTATCCTTCATGTTTTTGAAGATGAGAACACAATAACTGAATGTCCATAAGATGTTGGTGACACCAAGTTCCTGTAGCTTCATTGTACATACACACATTGAAGTCAGAATTTCTTAAAGCAATTTGGGAAATAAGCTTTTTGGCTTGCTGGTGGGTAATTAGATATAAAGCTACAGCTCTGTCCAAAGATAACAAAATCAGTTTATCATTAAGAAGTAATCTGGCACATAATCCTCTGTAAAATGAATTAAACAAATGAAATCTAATGTGTTTATAACTTACGTGAACTTTAGATGTGCCTGTGGGTGCGTTAGCCTCAAACAAAGCCAGGCTAGCTGTTTTCAGTCTTTATGTTAAGCTAGCTTCATATTTCACAGACAGATATGAGAGTGGTATCGATCTTCTCATTTAACTCCCTGCCAGAAAGCCGTTAAGCATATTTCCCAAAATGTCAAGCTATTCCGTTAAACAAGCAATGGCTTTGAACTGGGATGATGAATCTTTTACTTTTATTTGCAACTTGCATCCCCAGTCTTCATCAGTGTTTCTTTGTCTCACTGATAAACTGTGCCTGTTAGAGGCGTGTGCCTCTAAATTAAATGTTTGTTTATATGTATTCACTCCCTTTTTTTGCCTTCCTGTGTATTTTCTGCCTACAGGGAGTAACTGGTCATCCCCTACTCCGGTGATAGTGGTCCCCCCTACATCCTCCCCAGTCATGCCTTCCCACAGACGCACACCATCAGAGGCAGACCGGTGGTTAGACGAAGTCACCAAGTCTGTCCGAGCCCCACAGCCTAATCCAATCTTGGCGGCTGCCACGCCTCCCACCCAGCCGTTCACCGCCCCTGTGCCGATGCCTGTGGCCTCTGTTCCCTCTGTTCCCCCGGTGGCCTTCATGTCCTCTCTACCCTCCACTGTGCCCATGTTACCCCCTCGCCAAACCGCCTTCCACCCTCAGGCTCCAGCCTCCTACCCGATGCCGAACGGGCTGCCGTTTCCTCAGCCCAGTGTCCCTGTGGTCGGCATCACTCCTTCACAGATGGTTGCTAATGTATTTGGCTCAGCCACGCAACCCCAGCCGTTCCCTGTCCCGGTCTCCACAACACATCAGCATGATGCCCAGGTTGTCAGCAACGCCAGTCCATTCATCAAACCCCCACAGTCCACAACAATGAACCCTGCTGCCCTCCAGCCATCCAACGGTAGTGTGACCTTTAACGGGGCAGACAGCTGGGCTGCTCAATCCCAACTCACTCCATCCTCCCCAGCCACCCAACCGCCCCCACAGCCTCAGCAAGATGCCTTTGAGGCCCAGTGGGCAGCCTTGGAGGGCCGCTCGCGCCAGCGCACCACACCCTCCCCAACAAATCCCTTCTCCACTGAGCTGCACAAGACCTTTGAGATCCAGCTCTGAAGACTGTGTTTGAGATTAGAAAGCACTGGACATTAAGGAGGCTGTTTTAGTTGAGGGAGCAGAAGGGTGATTGACTAAAGAAGAGAGAAGAATGTCCTCCTGTCTCTCCTCATCTCAGTTTCAGTGGACAAGCTCAGCAGTGCGAAAAGAACTGGGAGACAGTGGAGAGCAACAGGTGAATCAGCAGGGAGCAGAACTCTGCACAGCAGTGAAGGGAGAAAAAACAAAACAGGTTGCTGTTAACAAGGGTGCAGCTCCCCAAGCATTTCATTAGCGTTGTCTGTATTGTTCTGTTTGTGCTGTGGAGCGCAAGGTCGTTATTACCCTGTGGAATATCTGTGCCGCAACACACCCATCCCCCTGTCAGCCCTCTACCACCCGCCCCCACAGCCAGGTGTGGTGGCTCCAGTCCCCTGCCTAACTTTGCTCGGTCCAGCTCCCAGCGCCCCCTGTTGACAGAACGGGACATCCCTCACCTGGCAGAGGAACTGCAGCACTGAGAGAACTCAGCTTCCAGATGAGAAGTTCTCATTAAGAACTTCCCAATCAGAAGAATAAAGTCAGACAATGCCAAAATCTTTATTTTTATGCATTAAGTATATTTTAAATAGCTTTGGAATCTAACAGAAGAGTTGTAAGTAATCGTGCCAAAGGCACAGGCTAGCTACAATGAGACAAGTTCATGTTCGTGTATACAAGAAATGACCGTATATATTATACATAAATATATATATATATATATATATCTATAAAGAATCTATACTGTACACACAGCTCACAGCAGTGCTATGTTTTTTTTTATGTGATGTAAAGAGATTTTGTGAAGGGACAGCTGCTTTACTTTTTTTGTTTGTTTTTATTGTTTTATTTTTGAAGAAGAATCTCTTTATTTCTGTTTATTACATCCTGTGATTGGATGTGAAGGATCTCACTGTAAATAAGGTATCATTGCAGCAACAATCAATGGTGGTGGTGCCCAACTGGTTGCCTCTCTTACTTGTGCTCAGTTTTAATAGTTTAGTACACATCAGTACTTAACATTTTACTTCTGTTTTTGTGTGGTAATGATCTTGTTTTTTATTTAACACAGTAGGATGTGTCATCTCCCGTTTCTCCAATTTTTTTTGTAAGTAGTTGATTTAAATTTTTTTATTTTGCACAAGCACTAAAGTAGATGATTTTGAGCTCACAGGTGACCTTGATCAACATGGGTTAGTCAGTTGTGGTGCTGCAGAGCTGAGAAGCTGCATGCTGACCTGCCCTGACCTCCATTAGCCTGCTGTGGTTCTGACGGTAGGCAGAAAACTACAGGGAGATAAAACTGTTTCATCTCTGACTGTCTGATTTCTCTCTGTCATGTTTTTATTTTTTAAATCAAACCTGTGAATATGATCTATTATCTGATCTATTTTTCCATTTTGTAATTATTTCATTACTTTATTCCACTCCTTTGGAGAAATGTTGAAGCTAAAAGGTTTAATAAATTGAAGGTGGTAGAGGAAAAAAAGTACTCTGTGTTTTGAATGTATACGTTTATTGAAATCACTGATAATGAAAACAGGTACTATTCCATCAGGTACAAGCTAGAGCACAAATAATTATTCCATTAAAAAATAATCTGCAACTATTTTTTATGTTTATCAAACAAAAATTAAAAACATGCGCTGGTTTCAGCTTATAAAATATATATTGTAAATTTAATCTCTTTGCATTTTGGACAGTTTGTCAGACAAAGGAAGCGATTTGAAGACATCCCCTTGGACTCTGAGAAACATTTATGGCCATTTTTAAATTTTCTTATTGTATTTCATAACTAAACGTTAATTGTGAAAATAATAGGTGAAATACTCTAAAGTACACACAGCCGTAGTAAAAGCACATTCTTAGTATACTTGAATACTAAAATATAGAATGAATACAAAGGAAAACAATGAATAGCAGAATGAAGGAAATATTTCAGCTGTGTAGACAGATTATTTTCTGTTGACGTCACGGTTTCTGGATACTTGTACAATACACATCGCTAACGCATGTAGGATGCAATTATATTAGACCTTTTTCAGACAAATGAGATTATAAAAACAAAAACAACAAATTTCCAAAGGACCACATGGTCTCTTGTGCGGATGCAGCTGTGATTCTGTTGCATTGGTCTTTTCTGTTGTTATTCCATCCTTCCAACAGGGGGCGCTGGCTGCAGAGCGGCGCCCCGGTGCAGCAGCCTCGTTATAAATACAACGCAGAAGACATGGATCAGTTCAGTAAAGAAAAGCAAGAATACATGTGTGTGACATTAGCGTTGTGTTGGTTAGAAACTTAAAGGTAAGACTTAAACTTCACATATTAGTACATAAAAGTACTGCTCTGCTGTTACGCAGTAATGTATCCAGTTCAGCTCAAGGACGCCGGGCTGCACAAGCCGCAGAGGTAACGAGCTAGCAAGTTAACCGGCTAACCAGGTTAACTTTGCCTTGACGACACTAAACTAGCCATAATAAGACAGAAACTGATATCCGTCAAGCTTGCCTTTAAAATCTCAAAGTTTTATTTGAGGGGAAAAGGTAACCCGATTAAGTTTTTAACCCTGTTGTGCCACAGCAAACGGTCAACGCTAGCAGAAGTTGCACTGCTGAAGCTAGCTGTGATTTGATAATAGCTTCAACGGTCGACTGACGGGACACAGAAGAGCCTGGTGCTTTATATGTTGTCGTCTGAGTCGTATGAACCCTACAATGTAACTTTAGTCATGAAACGGCCAAGTATTCACTTCAACGAGCGCTGTTGTCAAGCTTTAGCCTTGAATGTGACGTGAATGTGGGGTTAGCTGCACCACCGTTAGCAAGCTATCTAACGTGACACAACTTGACCTGTGACCCATTAAATGCGTTGACCTCATTAGGAATACCTGCTCTGCAACTGTATAGTATAACGTTAGTCTGTCTGTGGACCACTAACACCCGGTCTTTTCTTTTAGTTAATCCTCTAGCCTTACAGAATCTGATAGATCATAGCTTTGGGTACATCCAGATCACAGCAACATATTTAATCACCTAAACCCAACAAAATTAATTATGCAATAGTGTGATAAAAATGCCAATTAACTCTGTCTTGTGTAACACAGCTGTCATTAGAGCGAATGTGCCCGAGGGTTTCTGTTCTTTTCCATGATAACCTGTTGTTGATGGTTTGATACAAAATCTGTTATATTACACAACTCTGGATTTAAACTAGCGTACTGCCCCAATACTGACATATTTTTCCAGTTGTATACTATCAAACATAGATAAAGCTCGAAGGTTACCGCTTGTTTATGAATAGGGGACCTGTGGTGTTGCCTTTTTGTTCCAGAGACATGCAGTGTCTGTCTAGATCACAGAAACAGAGCCAGGTTTACATGGGATCCCACTGACACAGGAAAGGTAAAACAAACCGTAAGTTTTTGTATATATGGGGCATGATGACCTGGCAACTGAAGACCAACTAGGCTTGTGTGTTTTCTGGCTCTAGGTTTGCACTTTTCAGCCAGCTGAAGATAACTACAAGTCAACATGTCTCATCGAGGGCCTTTAACTGCTGTTATAACTACAGTATTAGGGGCAACCTTAGGAGGACTGCTCATATGGCATGTTTACAGAACGAAAGGGAAGAGGTTGCCTTCCACTCAGAAGGTGGCTGATCCTGTAGAAGCTCCATGTCCTGTGGAAAAGGAGTTTACAGCCGTAGAGCATCAATACACCCAACCATCACATCTTCTGGAGAAAGAGGTCAAGGTTGTGGAGTGTCAGACCGCACAACTGCCCCCTTCTGTACAGATACCATCTTCTGAACAGCTGCTTGGGGTGAAACCAGTGATGGTGAGCTCTGAAGAGGAATGGCAGCAGCTGTGGCCACTGATGCAAAAGGAGCTGTCGGTCTTCCCTGTGCTGGGGCTTGACTGTGAATGGGTAAAGACCAAAGGCGTAAGAAATACCTTTTGCATGGTTTTTTTTTAGATGAAGAGGAAAAATCCACCTTCAGCATTGTTCTGTGTTTGGTTTTGTGTGCTCTATAAGGCCAGAGATAACCAGAAACACAAAAAATCCAGATATTCTCAGCTAATGAGGAATAGAGTAGAGCTGCAATGATTAATTGAACTATTAAACAAATTGTCAACTACTTTGTTAGGAAAAAGCAAACATCCTGATTCCTTCTTACAGCTTGGGTTTTTTCCCACTGTTTTCACACAGTTAATCAAATAATCTAAAGTCTCAAGTAATTACAACTATTGTCAGTTGCAGCCCTATTAAAAATCAGGTCAGGATCATCAATCACGTATTTTATAAACTAACATTTAATATCCATACAGGGCGGAAACATAGATTCAAGAGGAAGTCACACCAGTTTCTCCAGTGACCGTTACCTTTTATACCAGAAAGCAAAAGTAGATGCTGCCAAAAGCAAATTATGAACCTAAATTTCATCAACATCAAATATTACTATGTATACTAGTGAAAGATTATCAGAAGGGTGGAATTTTCCTTTTTAAGGATCATTAACATTTCAAATTGCTGAAGTTTTTTTTCTGACCTGGCTGCTGTTTCCTGTTGCAGGTGTCTGCGAAAGGCCGAACCTCTGCGGTCTCCCTGTTGCAGATGGCCACATATTCAGGTCTTTGTGTCCTGGTGAGACTGTTGGCGTTTCGCAGCAGCCAGCAGCCATTCCCTCTCAGTTTAATGGAAGTCCTCAGAGACCCACACATCTTGAAAGTTGGTGTCAGTTGCTATGAAGATGGCAAGCGTCTGACGCGTGACTATGGTCTGTCGCTGACATGTACGGTTGACCTGCGTTACCTTGCCTTAAGACAAAGGTATAGTCTAGTTGTTGCTGTTTGATGCCGCAGAAGGCTTTTTGCTTTTGTTTGTTTATGTCAGCCACACTGATGTAAATTGCAAATTACCCTTTAAAATTCTGTCTCCATTTTCAGGCTAGCTACAGTGAATAATGGCCTGAGTCTGAAGTCTCTGGCAGCCGATCTGTTGAATATATCCTTAGACAAATCTCTGGAGCTGCGCTGCAGTGACTGGGAGGCAGATCAACTGACGCTGGAGCAGGTATTACAGCGCTTGTCATTTTTCATCTGCTTCAGTGAATAAACGGCAATCCAAGATGGTATGGTGCTGTGAAGTAGGGGGTGCTATTTTTGTTGCCCCTGGTTCTAGAAATTAAATTATTTTCTCCCAAGAGAACGATAGGTGGCTGACAGAGTTCTTCTACGGCTCGATGTGCTCGAAACTGTCCTGGTTTCAATTCACTTTTATTTAAAAGTGCACCGTGCAGCATGATCCCAGTACACTTTATAATTAAAGAGTAAAGATGAACAAATACATAATACACTATTGTGTCCTGTCATAAAAAAGTCCAGGGTTATTAGTTTGTGTACATAAACACGTGAGGTGAGACATCTGATAACAGAACTTTAAATTGTAAGTTGCAGGTGGATGTAACTTATGCATTTTAAATTAACTGACTTTCAGATTCTGGCTCAATTTTGGAAAGTTTCCGCAACTATGGCAATGACGAAGCATTTTCAAGTCACTGCTGCTCTGAGTGGCGCCTCTGAGAGTCATCCATGAAGCTGAGAGGAAAAAACAGTTGAAACAATTAAAATTACATTATCTAGGAGAGTCGTATGTTTTTATGTTGAGTAACATCAAGGACACTTACTACTTTGAAATGGGAATTCTGATTGGTGAAAATACTTAACGGAAGCAGCAGCTCCACCCATTTTGCTTCTTGATACTGTCCCTGTTTTCCTCTAAATGTTTATCTGTTCACTCTAGATGACGTATGCTGCCAGAGATGCCCAAGTTTCCATCGCCCTCTTCCTTCATGTCCTTGGCCTCCGCTCTGAAGCCAATTCTGCCTCCAGCGGGAGTTCTTACTCTGAGTTGGCTGCCCGCTGCCAGGGCCTGGTGGACATGCCCTTCAGGGGCCGAGGAGAGGGCGATGATAGGGCCTCTGACGGAGAGCGGAGGCGGCGGATGCGGAAACCCCCCAGTTATGAAAGTCCGGAGTCTGGAGATCAGCAAGTCCCAGACCCTCGAAAGAATAACAAGAGGAAACCGCTGGGTGTAGGCTATTCTGCCAGGTGAGGAAGAGGAACAGCTTGTTTCATAAGTGAATGTAAAAAGTTGTTGCAGAAACAAATCCAAAATCAACTTGTATAAAACACAAATTAAGTTGTAGAGACGTAAGGTTTTTGATTCAGCCACCTCTTGATCTTTCTCCCTCTGTTACAGAAAGTCTCCCCTCTATGATAACTGCTTCCTCCATGCCCCAGATGGCCAGCCTCTGTGTACCTGCGACAAGAAGAAAGCCAAATGGTACCTAGATAAAGGAATAGGAGGTACACTGGAAAACACCCAACGTGTCGACATTAAAACACAATGTCAGAAAATCTTGATGCTATAACAAGCAAGTTTTTGCCTTTTGAAGTACCTCCTCATTCAGTGGGAAAATGGGCTTGTCTTGTCTGCAGTGTTCAACTAACACCACATAGTAAAAGTACTGTGGAGCTCTAAAAGTACGAAGGCATTCACATACCAATATACATTTAGTGTAGTTACGCAGTTCAGTTGGAAGAAAATAGACCTGGAGTATTAAAGGACACTTGGAGTCGATGCTACATGAAGTCACTTGCATTTAATAAAATAAATAAACTTATCTGTAAAGTAGTGTCTCACATGTTACTTAATTCTTACACTCCTCTCTCGCTATCTAGTAAGATTTTCTACATTTAAATCTCCAAAGAGAGGATTTACATCATCTCTGTTTCTGACCCAGTGCTCCAGAGTGAAGATCCTTTTGTTGTGAGGCTGCTGTTTGAACCGTCAGGACGTCCCGACTCCCAGCAGGACTATTATCTCACTGCTAAGGAGAATCTCTGTGTTGTCTGCGGCAAAGCAGATTCCTACATCAGGTCTGACGTGTTTTTTATATTTTAATTCATCTGAAACTTGTTTTGGTTTTGTTTTTTCTGATAGCTGTCAAAGAAAATCTGTACTATTTCTATATTAGACTAGGGATGAAAGTTCCAATTTTTTTGTTTAGATTTTCAGTGATCAGATGTGGGTAGAAATTAGTTGCATGTAATTAAGTAACTTTTTGGGGTAAATTGTACTTGTCAGAGTAGTTTTAATACATGCACCGTCACGGTATTATCATAGGGCACCTGATACCGACACTTTGTCAGGCTTTCTCAAAACGTTTTTATCTGACGCCCTGGGATGAGACCGTGTTGGTGCAGCGGGTGAGCAGGCTACACTGAGCTGACAGAGAGCATTGTCTGTTTGTGTTAATGCTAATATGTTTAATAATAAATAGCTACACACAGTATATCGTGCTTAAAAATTCTTGCTTGCTTTCTGCCTTAATGTAAATATTCAAGCTAACAGTGTAGAGATCTCTGCATTTAACTATCATGCTCGCTGGTTTAGCCTGATACAGACCAAATTATGTACACACACAAAGACAAACTTACTCTTATTTCATGTGGGTGTGACTGATAATGTTTCAAACACAGATGATCTGAGAACACACCTGTATAATAATATAATTTAATATACGGGACAACAAGATATCATTTATATTTTTAAATGATCTTTACTTATTGGAGCATTAACAAACTACAAAATATTGCATTAATATTATAATCACAATTGATGGATACACGCTGAGAATATTGTCCTGGTGTAAATGTGGCAGGTTATCTAATCAGGACGTTTGTATTCTCACTCAGGTTTGTATTTTGATGACCACTTTTACCTCCTACTTGAGTACTAGTTTTTGCAAAGTAACTGTACTTGAGTACAGTGTTGGTCTGCTCTACCCACCTCTGCCAGTGAAATAAAAAAAAAAAAAAGAGAAGCAGTTAATCATCACATTTCAGAAGCTTGAACCAGCGCTTTTCTCTCTTTTTTTCTCTTCTTGATAAATTACTTAAAGGTCGTATTATGTAAATGATGATCCATATATTAACTGCACTTGACTAATTTTTTCAGGACTACATCAGACAGTATATTGTGAAAGGCCTATTTGGTGTTGCGTATTCTTAACCAGAGAATTTCCGTTCCAGACAGCACTATAAAAACATTTTTAAACAAAAGAACTTAATACTAAGAAATGCTTTCTAAAGGTATATATTAAATAGAGTGACACTTAATTACAGTGACAGATCTGGTTAATTATTATTTACTTTGGTCCCACAGGAAAAACATTGTGCCACATGAGTACAGACGGCATTTTCCCAGTGAGATGAAGGACCACAACTCCCATGACATCCTGTTGCTCTGCACCAGTTGCCACGCCGCCTCCAATGTGCACGACAGCTTCTTGAAGCAGCAGCTAGCTGAAGACTTCGTCGCCCCTCAGGGCTGCGAGGACGGAGTTCGCCTTCTGGAGGACTCGGACCGGCGGCGGGTACGTTCGGCAGCTCGGGCTCTTCTCACCGCTGGGGAAGGACTGCCAGAGCAGCGACGAGAGGAGCTGCAGGCTTTGATCAAGAGCTTCCTTAACATGAACGAGGAGCAGGAGCTGACGGACGAGGCGCTGCAGCAGGCTGCAGGTTTGGAGACGAGGTGAGTTTCAGCCCAGGCTGTGTGATTTACAGATTTACACTTAAACAGGACAAAATCATTCTTTTGAGTTTCATTGTATCGGTACCGTTATATGGTCTCACCTGAGTTTGAAACATTTCCTCACTTGAACCAGACTACTTTTTTTTTTTTTTTTTTTTTTTTTTTTTTAAGATAATTATTGTTTGACACACATGCCTAAACTAAAACATCCTGCTGAAAACGCCCTTGGTACCGGCTGCAGCACACGATCATTTTTGCCATTTTAAGTCCAAAAATCTGCAGATCTGTTGCTCCTTCGCCATCTTGATTATTGCGCAATACCTGGGAGCTGTGCCGGCCTTCTCTCGCCGCCTTCTGCAGAGAGGAAACGTGCCTCTTTGGAACACAGTCTTTTTCGCCATTTTGTGGCCGACCCGTAAGGGCTACATACATCCAGGGTATCAAATGAAACATCTGCTCAAGCCGGATAGATTGATGTTCCATTTCTCTATTCTTTAGCTTCTGATCTTTCAAAGGAGACCAGAATTATGCATCTAGGCCAAATGGTTGAGTGATTCCTGATTCGTTTTGGGTATGTTATTTAAGGTGGTTTTTCCTGGAAAAGGGTGGTTGTCCCCAACAGTATATATATCAATGATGAGCTAATATCGGCCTGGTTTATTAGTAACACAATTTGAGTTTGACAATTATGTTCATCTACTGGGTTGCATGCAGGTATTTATTTTTTTTTTATATATTTTTTTTTAAGAGCTATTTAAGTTTGTACAGAATCTACAATCTCCTAACTGTTCCTCTCTCCTCCCTGAAGGATTTTCAACGAGGCGTACGTGCCTCACGGTCTGAAGGTGGTGCGAGCCCATGCCGAGCAGGGCCTGCAGGGCCTGATGGACCTGGAGCGTCGCTGGAGGCAGCACTTCCTTACCACCATGCAGCCCAGCCACCTCCCTCCCCTCTGGTCCGTCGACCACAACCACAGCAAGTTCCTCCGCAAATACGGAGATGACCTGCCCATCAAACTAAACTGACTGTCAGTCCCCACAAGGACCACAAGCAGGACCAGCACAGAAAGCTGACTTTTCTCATCTGCCGGTCAAGGTGCCGGTTGGATTTGAAACTTCCACAGTCACTGTCAGTTTTACAAGCCAAATTGCTTCTCTTTTTTTAGTGAGTGGATGAATGAACTCCTCTACCAGCCGGGACCCAAATGTTACCAGCATGTAGCGGCTGTTACGTTACCATTTACCACAAGGCCATGATGAGTGTGTGAGTGAATACTCGATCTGCGAAGGACATTGGACGACGTTTCACTCTTTGTGGTGACACAGGTGCTGGTAAGACGTTGCTAGGCTGCCACCTGGATCCTGAATTAATTTGATCAGAGACGATATCCAGCATCGAATCTGAAAAACACTAACTCCACAATGCAATGGTGGATATATGACCACTTGTTTTAATCATGGTAAAAAAATATTGAATTATTTATGAAAAAAGTTAAAATATTGACATTTAAGAACTGATTTGTAGGAAAAAGGTGCACCTGCTCTTAATTTCCCCCTGAACACCCCCACTCCCCCCTTGCAGGCTAGCAGCTTTTACCTCAGTCAGTCTGAGAATAAATTACTTGCTTTGCAGAGAGAGGGTCATTTTTATATGCCCTTTAAATTTGGCACTCCCCCCTGCTTTTTGTTTTGTCTATTGTCTGTTTTAAGTCAATAGATAAAGTAGGAGTTTCCCAGAAGCATCTTGAAGTCAAATTTCCTTAAACTTTGGTCTGGTGTCTTTGGGCCTGAATGTATTCCATCTGTTTGTTTTTGCAGGGGAAGATCAATCCTAACCACAGTAAAGTTGGCTGGCTTAGTCAATCATTTTAAACTTCCAATGTTCATGTCCAGATGCTGATTCTCCCGACGGTTGGGACAACTCCATGGCTCATGTTTTAATGTGCCTCTTAATCCCCAAACCTGCCCGGAGACTTCACAGCATCAGGACATGACCTCCTTACTGTTTCACTATGACGTCATTTTACAGAATTCAACCTACAGTCAAGAAAAGCTGCCAACTCTTGTGCTTTAGAAAATTACCTTAAAACTAAACCCCCCTTTGCAAGACAGATTTATCTTTTGAGCGTGAATTTATTTACAATACAGCTGCTTTTGTCTTTTCGTAATTTCTTGGATGAAAGGCCTAAAGCTGCTTTTGTTTTCCTAAATTGTGAATGATGCACAAAATAAAAGTCATGTTTATATACATTTTCTGTCACTTGTTTTGTTGGCATACACACTTCTTCACATACAGCCCCCCCCCCCCCATTTTAAAAAGACACAAGCACATTGAGGTTTTTTATTTTTATTTCTTACAAAATCACAGTTTAATAAATAGTCTGTAAAAATGAGTACAAAAGCGGTTTTCTTAACATTTCATATATGAATCACTCATGACTTTCAGGTCAAAGGAGTCTTCAGTTGGATTTTTTTTTTTTTTGTCAGGAATGACATATTTTTTTTTTTACAATCTAGTTTTGCTGAATTAAGGCCTCTTGATTTTGGCATCAGAACAATCTGTCAGTCAAATGTTTTGTATCTGAAGTTGAATTAGTGTAGAGTTATGAGCTCCCCTGGTTTCACAGTTCAGTCAGGAAAAAAAAATAAACAAATACAAAAATACCAAAATGGCTCAACATGCAGATGTCTTAAAATGCTGAGAAAACTAAGCATGTGTCAAATGGTCAGTGTTTGACACTGCAGACATAATGCAACAATAACAGTGGCACATGAGGCTGCTTCATTCAAAGGGATTCCACCAAAGGTGACTTGAGAATTTATTTTTCTTTTCATCTTGAGCATTAAAGAGGAGAAAGATACGGGCAAACATTGGGAAATACTTTATTAAAAATAAAAACATTTTGGTGGAATTCCCCTTTTTTAAGAAGTTTAGAGTGACATGGAGTGCAATCCTGTGTTATGAAAGACACTCTGACATCTTTACTGCATTACAGTGAATCCTCTTGAGGGCGGAAACACACCTGGAGATTTAATGTTTTTATGCTCATTTATTTTGGGACTGTTGAAGGAATAATTAGGGAAATAAGCAGATTCTTTCTTGCAGATAGGAAAAAGATTAATAACGTTACCGCCACTCTCTAAAGGTGATAAAATCCACCTACCACCTCACTAATTAACAGTTATATCTACTTAGATTAATATGTACAAAAAACAAAGTTTGTGCCAGACTATTTCTGTCTGGTTGTCGCTGTGCGGTTACCAGGCAATCGGAAACTGCAATAACTGAATTATTAGGCCTCTTGGGTGCAGCATAAAACAAACTCGTTAACATATCACCTTTAAAGCTGATATGAACTTGTTAGCAAACATTCAGGAGTTACAGATGTCTACCAACTCCTGAGGGAAATAGCTGGCTCTGTAGCTGCTAAATGCTCCACTACGTCCACCAGCTAGTTGCCAGCTGAATCTGTCTGCTGTTTGGTGCTGAGTGGGTAGTGAACAGTAGGTTTTTTTTAGAGCTTTGTCTCTGAAAACAGCTGCCTAATCTGGCTGAAAAACTACACTATGAGAGTGAACCAAACAGTAATTGCGGCTGGAAAGAAACCATGAGCAGAAACTTGCTATAAAGCGCAGCGTAACTGCAGATTCAGGTTATGAGCCTCTGTAGTTTGAACTCTAAGAACGACCCCTTTCTCATTATCACATAATGATTTGAAACATTAAAAAATATCGATTGACATTTTAAGGAAGTTGCTTCTCCAGGCCAAGAAATAATTCAGCACACAATTCCACATAAAACAGTATCATGTGAACTTTAGAGGTACTGGTAGGTGGATTTTGTTACCTTTGGACAGAGCCAAGCTAGCTCTTTCTGTTTCCAGTATGCTAAGCTAAGCTGTCACTTTGTATTTAGCATACAGACACACAAGTGGTATCAAAGTGTATTTAAGAATAGAATATCCAACTAGTCCTTTATGAATCCTCCAGTGTGTGTCCACTCCATACTACTGCAGAGGATGGCAACATTACATTACTGCATATTATTAACTCCTTTTGTTTATTCCAACAAAAGACAATTTTACATTTAAAAAAAAATGACAATGCAACTCAAGAAATGAGAAGGCCTGTTTGATTTAGCCCCAAATCTCTGGAAGATTTTTTTTTTCTCTCTTTTTTGAAGGGACAGGTTACTTTCACATTTCAGAACACCAGATGTTACAGTATTTAAAACATCACATTAATTATCTTTTCTTTGCAGATTCCATTTCCCATAAAGGTACACTGAATTGACAATAAGGCATATTCTAAACATTTCCAATTCGCAAGTCAAACCGTGACCCCTAAAAGTATCTCCAAAAGCTAAATTTTGAAGCGCATTTTCAATTTATATTACAAAAAGACATTTTGCAGCGTTAACATTTTGACCTTCAAGGTAAAAACCCTTCTACAAAGAATATTTTCCACATGTTTTATGAGGGAGAGCTGTCACAGTCGATGCAAATGACCTCATCTCCCTCGCGTATGTTCATATGAACAGAAGTCACATTTTCACACAAACAGATAAGATTGTCACATTAACATAAGATGCTGCAAAAAATCATATTGCTTCACAATGGCTGCGTAAAAATAATATCTCCGGCTTAACACAGCGGGCTTCAAACAAATAATTTAATAAATTAAAAGAATTGTAAACGTGAAAGCGGATGATTCCTCTAGCTTTTGGTCAAAGGCTGTTTGATGATGCAGAGAGGCTCAAGCTCTGTACAGTGTGTCATGGAAAACAACCGCAGTTTTGGTGTTTTTCTTTCCCAAACTGGACAATTGCATGATCATTTATGCCGTTTAGTGACCCTCAAACCCTTGAAACGTGTTTGAAACACAATTCCTAAACTACACGGGCTTTGCTGGCAAAATCTCTCATCTGAAAAACAATCTTTGTTTTCATTCAACGGTAGACAAAAACCTCCCCCTTCCTCCTCTTCCTCCTCCTCCTCCTCCTCCTCACTGCACCACCACTGCTCCTATCAACCCTAACTCATTATTGCTTGCATGTTAATACATAAAGTTTGGGAACCATTCTTGTCTCTGAAAGCTAGAAATATTTCACATCAGATTCCAGAATGAATGACAACAAGGGCCCAAAAAAACCCCACGACTGCCTAATTTTTTTTGTGTTCCCCTCAGGTTCTTTAGCAAGGACAGACTCCAGTTTTAGGGAAGAGACACAACATGGACGTTTGCTGGTGTATTCAGGATGTAGCAAGTCACAAATTCTTTGGAGGTTTCATTCGATAAGCCGAGATGATGGAGCCTGCGGGGGGTTTATGTACCGTCCCATCGCAGGATGCAATGTTTTCACACACACACACACTCTCTTAAGATCCACACAAACTAATCCAAATAAAGACACACACACACACACACACACACAAACACTCGTCACACACTCACTGCCTTTCTCAATGCAACTCATTTGAAAACACAATTGGCACAGATTATCAAAATAAATACCCTGGAAGCTTGGCACTATGCAAAAGAAACTTCACATATTTGAAAGAAATCTTATAAAAAACTATTGAATAATCTCAGTCTACGCCACGTGTTCGTTATCCTCACTATTACTTATATACTATATGCTGATGAAGGTTACACCAGTGTCGTAAACCTCTGAATGACTTAACTACCACTGAAACAATATAGCTCCTATTCAAATAGATTTTTTTTCCACAAACGTATACATCAAAATGAAGTATCTAACATCTATCAGACTATAGATAGTGCTGTTGTCTGGTATGCATCTCTTTATAGTGCCTCTCCCCCCCCCCTTCCTTCTTTCAAACAAACAATCAGTTCCTTAAAAGTAATCTCTGGAACCCAGAAATTAAATCTCTTCTAGTTCTGGGAACAGATAAGAAGTTAAGTTCACCAGACAGATGTTGCTGTATCTGTGTGGACGTCTGCCAGGGCAGATTACCTCACAGGTGTCCCTCCAGGATGCTGGTGACAGACTGGTCCAGTGAAGGGCCTGACGTGGCCCTGGTCTGGGCCGCCGAGGGGCCCTGCAGACGCTGAAGCTCCAGGATGCTGTCGATGGCACTCTGTAGATGTTCACTGAGCATGTTGTCCTCTGGGAGGGGAGGAGGCGGCGGGCTGAACCGCTGCTCCGGCCGAGGCGACGCATCCAACCTGTAGCATTTCAGTTTTGGGGCGCTGACATCTCTGGGAGGCAACTCGAAGCAACCAGCCTGTTGCTCTGGCATAGAAAAAGGATTTGGGGCTTTTATCTTGGAATCGGGTGCTGTCTGTGGGACATCCGCCGCAGTGTTACAAGGAAGACCTCCGTTGCAGATCTCCGCGTCATGCTGAGGACCCTGGGGTGCTCCGTTGGGTGCCTGAGAGTGGTGTTCGTTCACAGCTCCGCCGCCGTTGGTCAGCTGCCCCCTGTGGTCCCTCTTGAGTCCCGGGTCACAGGCAGAGTTGTGAACCACTTTACGGGAGCCAGACTCCTGCTTGATGGTGAGCCTGAGAGCCCCACGGGAGCTGGAGCGGTACGTCTTGAGTCCCGGGGGCCGGTCGGACAGTCTGGTCCAGGCTGGTGGAGAGGAGGGGCTGCCAGAGGAGTAGTGTTGGGAGGGACCGGAGGAGTGGGCGCCATGGGGCGAAGACGCTGATGTAGCCAAGGCCATCATAAATGACTCTGGAATAAAGAAAAATGAGCAGAAGATTAAACAACATCGCTTATTGTGATTTTCTAAAAGCCGCAGAGCCGTCATCATTACAAACACACGTTTTTTAAATATCAGTCACTAAGACTTCTGCCCTGACCCTGAAACGTAATAATGTTTCAGTCTGACTGGAGTATAGAATAAATAAGTATAAATCACACAGTTCTCTATTAATAGGAATTATTTGTTAATTTTAAGTTTGAAGAAAGTTAGTAAGAGTATTCATGCATACTGAATGTATGGCCCTAAATCATAAGTTACATCTTGCATATGTAGAAGCTGAAGATGTTTAGTTGCACAGTTGAGAACTGGTATTCTTCTTCTGGCTATTCTGAGCTGTGTGATTTAGGTTCGGCTCAACAAAACCCAGAAATATTCTGCTGGTGAGATGATCAAAACTTCGAACGTTCAGTCTTGAAGTGTTTAAGTTTGTTAACTTTGTCTAAAAAGCCTTCCATCACATTCAAATAGGTTGAAATGTACAGTCTATGCACTATTCTGCATCTGGTTCATATAAATT